AGGGGTCAAAAGAGTTCAACCGATCTTGGATTTTTTTTTCTTCTTTTTTTTCTTCAATGTATGTGAAAGAATGTGTAGTTTTCTCTCGAGTTTGTCTCATCATGCGTGGGATCTGTGGGTGCTGGGTTCCTGCAGCAACCCTGTACATGGATTTTCTTCAGTGGGTGCATATACTCGTGGACTTCACATTGTAAACCTTCAAATGATGAATTATCATCGAGTCCCCCACCCCCCCCCCCCTTCCCTCATTATTTTAGAAAGAAACCAAAGAGAACTTTTAAGAGAAAAAAAGAGAAGAAAGGAAAAAATGGTAGCTAGGCCTAAACAAAAACAAGAGGCAAGATAAAAGAAAACAAGATTGAAGATATGGTATCAATATTATCTTGCTCCTTTCCTCCCTTTTTCTTTTGTCTTCTTTTCATTTCAATTTTCTTGCAATTTATTTCTTTCTTCCTTGGTATCTATTCCGTATTCTTTATTTCTTCCATTCATTTATTATTTATATATATTTTACTTTTTAACTTTGTTATTCTTCTTTCTAATCCCATTTTTCTTTCTTCCTTTTCTTCCTTATGCAGTTAAGTGAGCATAGATCATAGAAATAATTTAAGTGCAATACACAAGTATTTTATTTTTGATAAATGTCTGTATGTAGGCCTATTCTTGTTATCTATTTTATACAGTTTATAATACTGTATCACATATTCAATACCATAATGCAACCTCTGCTTGTAATATTTAAAAAGCAAACCTAGAACTGATTATTTACCAATTCATGAAAGAACTAGACTCCCATTAATCTCAGAAAAGTAAGCCTAGGCTACTCACAAATTGCCTATCAAGACTCTTACTTGAAATATATGCTATATATCTTGTCTACCGGTACTGACATTTTGGCATTTACTAGTAATTAACACAGCATTATGACTGTATTATCTAAATGACCATGACATTGCTTTTCTATGTCATATTATAGCCTGCCATTAATTCAGCGTACTTGTTACACACGATATTCGATGCTGGCGCATGCCTCGATCATACATGAATATTCAGAGAAT